ACAATATTAATAAGAAACAATTGAAAAAGTTTAATTCTTGATTTAGTGGTTGTTTTGAATCACATGCACGAGGGTCCTACAGAGTCTTGGACTGCTTTTGTAGATGCATTATGCTGACATATTGGGCTCCTCTTTTGGAAGTAGCATCACACACATGCTCTGCGCAAAAAGTCTGAAGCTGCCAGTTACCAAAATTTACTAATTAAGCATGGACCAGGCAGTGTATTTCTAAATATACATTAATTTTTCAGCAGAAGTCCTAGGCTTTAAACACTTGAAAAGTATGTTTTCATTCTGATCAGCCATAACTAGGCTATTTGATTACAGTAACTTAATAAACTTCAAAATCCTCCTCTACAAGAACTCTCATAGCTTAAGAGTAATTTTGTACTTCCATTAAATGCCACATTGCAGCTTCTTAAACTGCTTAATCAGTTTCTAGTCAATTTAACTCTTGTTCCTGAAGTAGCCTGTCAGTGCTGAAATTAGAATTAAGAATCACAGGATAATTCAGGCTGGCACAGATTTTGGGAGGTCTGCATTCCATCTTTCTGCTTTATATAGCCATCAGATCAGATTAGATTAGGTTGCTTAGGGCTTTATCCAGCTTGGTCTTGAAAACCCTGAAGGATGGAGACAGCACAACATCCCTGGGCCCACTCTCAACTGCTTTATTGTCCTCACTGGGGAAAGTTTTTCATTATGTCAAGTCAGAAAACAAGTTCATGTTCTTGTTTATTTCAGCAGAAGTCTGTCTTCTGACTGTCTTCTCATTTCAAACTATGGCCCTGATGAAGAAATTACGTGTTGACATTCTCTGCCCTGTGTTACACTGGAAGTCAGATTAGAATAAATGCAATGTGGCCTTAAATATCTGAATATCTTTCCCAGCAACTCTCAAAAAAGAAAAAAAACCTATCCCATTCACTGAAAACCCAAAGACAGAATTACTCCCCATTTGAGGCTGCAATTAGGAGGGGAAACAAACTAAGGCAACTGAATTTGTCGTGTTTGGGAATCAGGGCCTGAAGGGAACACAGCAGTAGAGAGCTGCTTGCTTTCTCAGTTCCTCTTTTGACACTACCCAAACACGTATGGTGAAAGCTGACAAGTGCAGTTGACCACAAACTGCAGCTGTCCCAAGGATCTACTCCTTCCAGCTCCAAATGATTTCTTTAGCCTGTTTACCAAAAAGCACCAAGATAAAAAAAAAGTGCGGGGCAGGGGAAAGGTACTTTTGAGGCTATGGAGTATTTAAGGTGTCTATATGAGCCTGGGAAGTATATTCCTTAAATGGTGTTTAAATAGTGAGACTACTAGGCGTCTGGAAGAGCAACTACTATTTACTGAAGAAAAAGAGTTTACCCTAAAGCTAAATAAAACTCCAGCACACTACAAAACGTCATGCTGGGGACTAATATGGATAGCTTCACCAGAATGAAGAGCAGGCATACAGAGTGAACTCTCTTCCGTTCTGTTCCTGCATTCCCACTCAGTGAGGGCTGAGACAGGTCACAGTATATCTGTGGTTACATACAGAACTTGTTTCCAGAGCTGTCAACTTCTTACATGACTTAAATCCACTTAAAATGGATACAGGAAATTGAGAATAATGGAAATAATGGAAATAAAAACAAGGACATAATCATGCCTAAAATCCTCTACAAGGAGGATTTTCCAAAGAAAGTCCTTAAAGCTTTGCTATACAAAGAAGTGGTCCTAATATTCAGCATCTGTTTTTGTCACCTGCACACAATTCTTCACAGCTCTTTTGCTCCCATAGCAGCTCCCTTTCTCCTGCGAGCCATTTTAGTATTAGTTGGAGAGTGGTTGGAGGAAGAGGCTCTTTACCAGCCAATAAATAGACACGAAAAACTGGAGAAAGCAGAAAGGAAATAGCACCAGGCCACAGGAGGTACAAAGACTGGTAAGTGGACAGAGGTCATCCTGCCAATGTAAACACCAAGAGGGCTAAATATAACATTCATAACAATTTATAACTCAACTGCATTTGTGGTGTTTTTAACAGAGGAACACCACCACCACACACACACACAAAAAAAAAAGCACACCAAGCCTGGCTACCCCTATCCTGAAATGATTTTCCATGAGAGTAGCTCCTCAATGAAAGCTGCACTTAATCAGTTCTTGAAATCACTTTTTACACAGTTTGCGTGAGATATGTCAAATGAAAGAGGACAAGTTTAATAGGATTAACCTGAGAAAAATGCGTTCAAGCTTCTGTGGACAGCTCCTATGTGTCCCACTCTGGATCTCTTCACAAAACTCATTTGCTAATGGAAAGGTCAGCCTAAATTCTATCCACTGAACACACACTTTTTCCAGAACAATTCTCTGCAAACAATGTGCTACAAAGATTCAAAGCAATAAACAAATCTCTTTAAGTTACAGTCACTCAATGCTTTAAAACTGTTGTACTGTTAGTAAGGACATGCCTAAGCCTGTTTTGTTTACACATTTGAGTATATCACCTGTCAAGATCTATTTCAACTGCTTTGAAGGATGAACAATCATCATTTTCACCATCATTAATTACTCTGAATTATGGTTTGCATTAATACTAAGCCTATGGTGTGTCTAACCAAAGACTGCTCTAGAACAGGTAGGAACAAACAGTACCCAACACAATAACAAAGCTTCTCTCTGATCAATTGTGAAAAGCAAAACATGTAACACTATATATGCTGAGCAACTGCATTTCATTCAACAGCTTTATAAGCAGTACTCAAGCAGGCTGGCAGGTAGTATCATCTCCATTTTAAAGATAGAGGATTGATGTGCAAAGAAATCAGAAAGATTCCCTTGAAAGAAAAGTGACTTACCCAGGAGCAGACCCAAACTTCCCTTTGATCATTTTGGGTGCCTAAGTAGGGACTTGTTGAGAGAAGAGGTACCCAGAACACCAAATTCAACACAATGTGCATCTGTTTCTGAATCGTAAAATCTAAGACCTCCCAAGCAATTTTACAGTTTTGTGCCACAAACTGGTGAATAAAGAAGATAATCAGAAGTGTGCAGGTGGTGACTACGGTAGCTGCAACAAAGGCTCAAGAGGAGGGGAGAGCGGAATACACTGCTCTATGGAATAACGCACCAAATGGTATCTACAAAATCTCTTTATGGCACTGTCCAGTCATTTCAGTCTGCAATACAACCATGGCACATTCCACCACTCCACGAAGGCTCAAGCAGATTTTTCCCCTTCCTTTGGGTCAATTCAGAGTGAGACAAAGATTTTTTCACTGACACCAAGGATTCCTGTTCTGACCTGTATCGAAGTCCAGCCCCATTATAGAGGCTACAGGTCTTTCCCCTTCCTCAGTTTCTTCAGATTTGATCTAATCTACAACAGCAGAAGCTGCTGGGAGGAGAAAAAAAAGTAGATTGAGTGTATTTACTGATTCCATTCTTAGACTTACAATAGGTAAGCCTTCAGGTTAGAAGTTCCTCCAGATGTATCTTACTATAAACATACGGGGGGGAACATCTAGAGCGGAAAGCTTGTAAGTTACAGATTATTTGTTAGTTCAGTAAAGCCTGTCAGCATGCCAGTGTGTTACCTGCTTCCCATGCTTGCAGACAGACCACAGTTTGCACATGCACAAAATATAAGAGCAGAGTAATACTGGGATACTCCAAAATGGAAACTTGGCATAACAAAAGCTTGCAGAAATGCCAATGGAAGCAAAATCACATACTTCACCTTCAACCCACCTTCAGTTCCAAAAATCACAAAACAACAAATGCTTGAGAAATCAAAACAATTTTTTTCACTATACTAAATATATGGTACTGCTTCCTTTGAAACCCTCTTTCTTCTTGCTGTGCTGGCAAAGTCCAGATTAAAAGATATAGTTACTGCCTTTTTTCTACCTATTAGGTGTAGAAAAGTGATAGGAACTGGGAAACAAACCACAAGTTTGTCCAGACAAATAGCTGTCAAGGCCAAGAATAAGGTATTTCAAAGGTCAGGAAACACTAATAGATGCAGACTCTTCATGCATCATCTACCAGTTAGCCACAGGCCCTAGCTGCATATAAACTGCAAAATATTCAGTTGAACTAATTTTAACATGAGTATTCTTCTTGTTTATAACTCATCTGGGCTAAATACTTATATATAACATATCACATTTCTTACAGCAAGCTCACAGCTTTCCCACTTTCAAAAAGTCAATCAGGACTTACTAACTAAAACTGGTAAAAATTATGTAAGTACACTGACACCTCTAAGGTACAATATTTTGTCTTTTTTTATTACCTGCAGCCGCAGATAAAGATTTAGGCTGTCTACACCACACAATGCACTCTTCTGCAAAGTCCTCCTCAGCCAGAGGAGGACTACTTGCCCCACTCTTCAGGAAAAATAACTATAATATTATAAAAGGCAAACTCTGCTGCCCTTAGCAGCTCTCACATCTGGGCTGCCTGGTTAAACCATTGCAAACCTTGTCAGTTATACATAGTCTTAGAGACAGCAATTTGGAGAATAATTCGCTTCCTCATTCATCAGTTTTGGATGGGAGGTCAATAGGGTGGAAGGGCAGAGTTCACTACATTCCTGACTCTTCACTGCCTTGTACTGCCCATAGCTCTACACTTTCCCAGGGAGGATACCACCCTAATTAGGCTTTGGTCTCCATCCATTCTGTATCTGCCTAAGTGGCCAGGCAAAATGCAATGCAATGAAACTTGATTAGCTTTCAACGAGCTAATAATGCAATGCTGACCACCCTAAGTGATTAATCTGAGAGGCTTACCAGGGACAAAGGGCTAGAATGAAAATATTTTAGGCCGACAAACACCACCATATCTAGTAGCCACAGTTAGTACTATTCCTGCAAGACACTCTCCTCCTCAGCGCCTGCTGTTTAAAGGCTTGATTTTCATAATACCTAAAATTGAAGGCAGGAAGAGAACATCCTTAGTACACAGAATGAAAGGCAGTTTGTGCTTTAGGACTTCTTCCTTACACTTACCTACGCTCGTAGGAAATATATCCTCGTTGTTGATTTGCACCTCGATCCAGTCCATGAGAAGATTCATATATTGAGGTGCGGGCAATGCTGTAGGCTTCTTGTACTTTATGTCATCCTGCCACCGATACTCATACTTAGGGCCTCCAGACATCACTGGGCAGGTCCTCTCTGTGCAGAACTCACAGATAGTTCCATAAATGAGGTTGATCCTGTTGAAGAAGTCAACAACATGGACAGCCACCCAGTCATTTTGGTCTTCTCCACTGGGCAACTGCACAGCTGCTTTCAAGTCCACACCTGAGTTCAGAGAGGCCTGTGCTTGTTTGTGAAGTTCAAACCTCTGGGTTCCAGGTTCAAACTTGCGTTTTGGGCGGAAAGTCTTATCTTTATTAAAGACTTGCTTGAGAGCTATGGACATGGCTGCTAATCTTCTGCTCTGCAGCAGCTGACAGAAAAGCACAGCTGGGATTTAATGCAGGTATCTGAAAACAGTTGCTCCCTATCACAGATCCTCTTTTTCTCAAAGAAGTTCTTATCAACTTCAGAGCAGTCTAATAGCTCTTCCTCTTGAAAGCCTTCCCGAAAAGCTTCATGTCCCTAAGGATGTGGAAACAATGTACATTAGTGGTAAACTTGAGTCTGGCCCTCTCAGTTTGTTACAGTTTTACCATAATTTTCTAGTAATTATGAGCTGAAAATATATAACATGGTAGCCTTTAAAAATCGGACAACTCCTAACAGGATGAAAATTTAAAAGAAAAAAAAAAGCTTCACTTTTTTCACGTATTAAGGAATTACATTCTCTGTGCTTTTTAAATACCTACCCAAATAGAGGCTCTTAAGTTATCATAAAGATGGGAGTTCAATAAATCTTGGGTAACTACCCATCTTTAGATAGTTTTTAAACCAACCTTTTAATTTTGCTGCATTTTTACAGTGACTACATACCATACATAATATATGTATAAATTTAGCAGACAAAATACTATAATGACAATTTAGAAGTCTTATCTAAATGCTCTTAAACTGACAAAAGATGCCTCTAAGTATTCACCATAGCATCAGTGCTCTTCTCTGTAGGAAAAAAAAACTTGTGCAAGATTTTTCCATATTTGTTCTCCATTTTTAATTAATGAGGTATTTGTTTATGCAAACCTCATAGAACCTAGTTAGAGCGAAAACTACAGTATTGCGCAGAAACAATTCCTGTTTTCCACAGAACTGTATAGACATTGTTACTTTTCTTGACCCACCTTCAGGAATTCAGTAGTGGTCTTAATTTTCTATTGCATTGTGTAGAATGATTAGAAAGCAATGGTGAAGCTGCCACTTTCTTTACAACTCTATTAATCTTCTCTACAGGGGAATACTTGGCATTGTTGTTCTTACAAAAGGAAGAGCATAAACTTTGCGTTGTTCCATCTAACCTACTCTGGCAACAAAGAATGATTTCAACAGCCAGTCTGACTGAAAAAATAAATTATTGCATTAGAGCCTTATTTGTTCTTATACATACGTGCAGAAGAATATTATCATCAGTATATTTAGGCATTTAGTAGCTGATAGGGTGGATAGGGGCTCCCTCATTTAGACTTTTATTTTAGTAGTGATGGTTTTATGGTCAAAGACAGAGAGTAAACATTTCATGTTGTGCATAATTTAAATTAAATAATACAATACATTTTAAATTTGCACAGCCCTACAAAAATCCTACCCTATCAGTGGCTGACGAATTCTCATCATGGGATTAGGTATGCTCCAGTGTCTCCCTTAACAGAAATCATGTCCATGAAAATTTTACTCGGCTGTGTGTGGAAAGCACTAAATTCTTCTGAAGACAGTTGCCCAAAGCTTTGCTGAGGGGCAGAAAGGAAGAGAAAAAGGTGCTTGTTTTTTCTTAAGCACCACAAAAAAGCAACATGTACCTAAATAAAGAGAAATCTAGTGTGCTAGACCCATAAAAAATCCTCTCCCAAAATAGCTGAAAGATTAGCATTCAGCCAATTTCCCAGCAAGCAGCAGCTAAACAAACCCAGCAGAGAAGTGCTTCTTTTTCCTTTTACTGATGGCATGATGGAGGCATACTCCAATCATGAGTTTATAAACAGTAATTCTTTCTGTGCCAGCAAAACATAAGAAGTTCAGGGATGAACTCCAGGGAGACTAGTGACCCATCTGACATGCCCCTTGGAGTAACGTTCAGACACAGAGATCCTGGATGTTCAAATTCAGAGATCCTGAAATGTGACAAAGTTTGGGGAAAGAAAACTTTAAACCAAACTAGCCTTGGAACAATTTAGCTAAGTGTCACTGGCAGGAAACAAAGGCACTTTAAAGAGACAACTTTGCCCTGCAGTTTGTTGTTTGTTACCAAGACCCATAATCTCCAGCTCTTAAATGCTCTGTGGCAGTCAGCTGTTCAAAGAAAAGGTGAGTACTGCTGCACAGACTGAGCTTGTGACTGATGCACTTTGAGATGGCATGGAGCCAATGTCCCAGTTTGCTCCAAAGTTTTACAGCTCAGGTAACTACTTTTTTCACACTTTAATATACCTGGTGCTCTTATGTGGCTACTTTGACTCCCTTCTTCACCTGTAAATATCCACCAGACCATGACAGGAATTTTTATTTAAAACAACAAGCTGACCACCAAATAAAATTCATCTTCAGAAGGCACATTTTGAAGCACAGTACTCACTGATGTTAAACCTTTTCCAAGAAAAACAGAAGACATTATATTTTATAAGCTATTTTCTACTGAATATGCAAACATAATTAATCATATTAAATACGTACTCTT